CAGTGAGGGTGAGCAAGGAGGGGCACCAGGCTCTCTACTCCCACGGTGCCCACTTCCAGCTGCGATACCCTTTGGGTTCCCACCGAGGAGAATACAGTAAGTGCCAAGAGTCTTAGGCAATGCCCCAAAATGGAGGGAAGGTAAAAGGACAACCTGTGAAAGGTCAGGCTGGGCTTCCAGCAGGAAGATGGGCAGGACCTTGGCACAGAGAGCACGTAGTCACACAGTCCAGGAAGGTCAGGGCCCGGGGTGCAAGGGGCACATCCTGCTGTGACCTGTGGCATCATCACAGAGACTCTTCTCAGGCCAGGGGAAGGCAGCCTCAGGCTGTGCAAGCCACTGAGGTTTTCTTAACCGGGTGTCATGAGCAGAGACCTTGGTAGAGAAGATTTATGAGGAATTTGGAAGCCTTGGGACTTTCTTCTCAGATCATTTTTACCCACGAGTCTAGTAGACCACAATCCAAAAATCTAGAAATTCTCAGTGAGCAGGGCTCATGGAGTGCAAATAGCCAGGTGAAATTTAATAGGAATGAGTATGAAGTCCAGAGACTTTGGCTGCGCGTGTGTAAGACGCCTGCTTCCTGGCTGGTGCAGTTCACAGAAAAAGACCAAGGATTCGGTCCTCAGAAGCCAATAGCAACACGTGAAAGTGCCAACAAAGTGAGATGGATCTTAAGGGGCAGACAGTTCTGTCAGCATCCCAGACGGAAAGGGGAGGCTTCGTCCAGCAGACCTGGAATCTAGCCCCAGGAACGGTAACAGAGCTGACTTGGGAAAGACAGCCAGCAGGGGACCGGCCAGGGGCGGGTAACACTGCCAATGTGGAAAGTGCCGCATAAATTTAGATCGCTGAAGAACTGTCTTGGAGAAGAAGCATCTGTACGGACTCATGTTAAAAACTGAAGCAACATGAGGCTGGCCTAACCAAGGCGTCCAATAGGCCAGGTCTCTGTCAGTGGACATGTGGCCGGGAGGAGGGGCCAGTCGGAGTCCAGGGGCATCCACGAGACAGCCAAGGAGAACAAGGCGGCATTTCCGAACAGTCTGCTTGCTATGGCATGGGGGTGGAGAGGGTATGAGATCCCACAGAGGGATCAGCTGACAAATCCAGATGGTGACAGAAGAGTCAACAGGCAGGACTTCGGTCCCCAAACTGTAAGCAGATCACTGAAATGCTCTGTGGTCAACTTAGGGCTGAAGGGCATGCCGTAATTCTCTGCAATAAATTCCCCCTCAAATGTGATTCCATTCTCCTCCCCCAGCAGCAACAACAACAACAGCGAAAACGATAAGAAGAACAATGCACACAGACACCCCAAGGTCTCTGTTATGGTGGATACACTGTGTCAACTTGGGGAGTCTAGAGGTTTGGCTAAGTGACTCAGCAGGAAGCCAGGGTGCTTACTTTGTATACA